GGAGGCGGTGCAGCTGAGTGCACATCCGATAGTGTCGTCGATGAGCCTGGCAATGTATCCAACCTGAAGAAAGTCGGGACTGAAGCATGTAAAAGTGTCCCCAAGTCGGAGGGCCAATGAAGCTCGGGTTCGCAGGGCATGAACGAAACACCACGCATCAGCGGGGTTCGCGACTTCCAGCCTGTCCGGACCTTATCAATGAAGCCGTCCTGAGTGATAAGGAGGGGGGACACGTCGTCCCGCCCATATAATGCACACGATGCAGAATGTTTGTGGTGGCCCTGAAGATGCCTGGCTTCAAGAGGCATGTTAAGCTGCCTAAAGAATGCAAGCAATGTAACTTTCATGGAATGTAGAGTGTATTGTAGTTCTTGTCCAGGTGGAAGCTGATTCCACATGCAAAGCAAAGCCCTGAGCTTCGAGAGGCACTCTGCGTAAGTCAAAGGTCTGATGCAACCCGCCTCTATCATAAAGAAAATGTAGTCCGGAATGGATTGGGCTCCGGGCTGGAGATCCAGCAGTGTCTCAACCGCGAGTAACCAATGAATGAGCCAGCAATGCTGGCGAGGCAACCTCAGCAGGCCTGAATGAAGGCAGCCGAAGGCCATGTACTTCTGTGTCTTTGTGCGGTAGGATGCACCTCTGAAACTGTCGAAGTCAATGTACAAATCCGATAACTGGATGTGTTGGCTGTCGCCAAATCGCAGACTGCACCAAATGCAAGTCAGAACACTGCCCGCAAAAGCAGTCTCCTCAAGTGTAAACCGTCCAAACACGATTTGTGTTTCCAGCCAAAGCATGAAAGCAAGTGGAAGAGGCAATGCCTCTTTGGATGCAGTTTGGGACTGCCAAGACCGGGCATGAAACAAACCATCATATAGGTTGGGGAAGCCAGTCGGGCGAACCGTTGATGAAAACCATCGCACCGCCTTGAGGACGTTAATGGAATGTACCGACGAATGATGCCGACGGGACAATTGGAGTGTATGGATCGCATCAATTAACTGCACCTGTGTCAGCAATGCAATGTCAAAGCCAAGATCTGTGACCGTATGCAAAAGCTGCCAGACAACAGCAATGTATCTCACCGCTGTCGTGTCCGACACTCGACGGAGCAATTGCTCTAATAAAGCACCTTTGTTAGGGCTGCCGAACACATCACGAAGTAATGTAGAACACGGCAATGCAAAAGCACAAAGTTCACCCCACATGTGTAATGCACGTGCCCATTGCTTTGAATGAATATCAGTCTGCTTGACCACTTTAGATCTGTCAGCGGGCTCTCCAGAATGAATAAGCTCGATACTCCGCTTGGCGCCAGGAGCAGTGGCCTGATGCTTGTGAGATGAAGTACCTGGGTTCACGGTCGGAGACCACGACAAGGCAGTGTGCTGAGGGGTAGGCGAGCTCTTAGAGACCGCCCCCGATTCCTGGGCAGCAGAGTGCAACCGCTCGGAAGGGTATGATGCATAAGCTCCACGAGCCGAGGGAACCGGCCGAGGCTTGGGCACCGCCTTAGGTATCCCCAGGGAGGCCCTGAGTGCAAAAGCCGGCCGAGATCGGGCCGACTCACTCGACCTCGCCACTGCAGAATGCAAACTCACAGCCCGGCCCTTGGGTTCACTCAGATGAACTGGGCGAGCCAATGGAGCAGTCTTCGGTGGGATGTCCAAAGAAGCTGGACAAAGCGCAAAAGCCGGCTGAGAAAAGGCCGGCAACAAAGGATCCGTAATTTCCCTGTCAGCATTCTCAAAAGACAGTCGCCCCACACGAAGAGGAGAGAAATGCAAAGCTTCCGGTGCCCCAGATGCAGGTGTGGTCTCAGGCGCTGGCGAGACCATCCCCCACGAAGAAGAACCGGATTTATCAGCTAAAGCAGAGAGTTCCAGGGAAACATCCAATGGATCTACCAGCTCAAAGTCCGGGTCGTAAACTGGCGACTCTGGTCGTGACTCGCCTGTGTGGTTGTCAAGGGGGACAGGCGTCTCGGGTTCCTCGCTATTAGCAGCCAGGTCCAATGCAGCAGAAAAAGAAATCAAAACCGGCTCATCACTGTCTGACACAGCTAAAGATGGAGGTGGAAGGCACTCATCCTGACCGTCCTGAAAGGATGAAACCACAGATGCAAGAACCTCTGACGAAGGAGAGGCCCCGGCCAGAGTGGAAACATCCTGCTGAGACGAGGTCCGCTTCTGGAACCGTTTGACAATGCAGCGAGATTGATCAAGATCAGCCATGTCATTGGTCAATGCAGAATCAGCAGCATACTCAGGCACTGACGAATCATTCACAGGCACTGACTGTTCCATAATGCAATTGAAGCAATAAATGCAACAGAGCACCGCAAAACCAGCTGGCCTGGAAACCATGCACTCCTCCCCCTATCGCGAGCGGGAGAGGAATGTAGTGAAGCTAAACTCCACACAGATTGGAGGCCTCCAGAGCTGTTCTAGAGGGCTTACAAAGAAGGGCCTGTTAAGCCTACAAAATTTTTGCCTGCGATGCAGGCGAGCTGGCAGCTGCGAGCCTGCTTGCTGCAATGAACATGGAATGTCATGAAATGCAGCAAGCATGCAAAACATTACCAAACACTCGTGAGCAAGCACACATACCGTCCTAACCTGGCACTTGTAGTTACACTAGGAAACATGCCCGGGGTACGTGTTTTCTCAACTATCTTGGATCAGACCACAGGCATTAATCTTACTCTGCAGACACCCTATTTGGAGATTGCCAAGAACTGCAACCAGCTTTCACCCCAGGGTGTCAAGATTTCAGACCCTGTAACCCATAGAACGGTTGTTCGGCTTAGTACAGCAATGTCTTGTTTTGCATATTTTGGTACTATTGTGCAGCAGAACATATGTTACTGTCTTGAAGCTATCGCGGGTCGAGGTCATGGATGTGCGAGCATATGTCACTGGTTTCAGGGGAGACTGGAAAGCTCTGAAGCAGACCTTCAACTTTGTTCGGTATGCAGACCAGGATGCAGCCGCTTTGTTTATAGATATGGTTCCTACATTACAATTTTGATTTGTTCAGTTCTTTGTGCCCTAATAGTTTCGTGAACTCAAACCTAAGTATAAGACTATTAAACCTTAAACCCAAAACCCTAAACCCTAAACCCTCGAACTGTCCCGCTAGACGCAAATGTAGGTATGCTGGATGTGCCTCGCGACGAAGGGCGCAGAAGACATCCAGTACTCGTACACAAACGTATCGGCAACAGCACCTTGGATATCAACCATTGGAACCGTTCCTGCATGGAGGCTCTCGCCAAGCTATACTTTGCTGGATGGGTTTCATGCTGGGTTCATCCAGGCAGACTTGCTTCATATTTGGCATTTAGGGACCGGACGGGACCTAATTGCATCAGCTCAGCTTTGGTGTTCATGGTCAAGGCTGGGCTTTGTTTTGCTGGTGCGACCCAGGGCATTCGGCTCGACAATGCAACAGAACAGCTGAGAACATACGCCAGACGGAATAAGCTTACACTCAAGCTTAAAAAGCTTTCGAAGGCCAAGCTGAACTGGAAAGCAAGGTGCATGCCCGAGCTTCGTTCTGGAGGTTATGATACTTATGTTGTTGGACGATGGTTAGTGGACGATGTGCTTCCGAATCACAGTGCCGAGCTACCACAAAACTTGTGCATGGCCCTTTGGTCGTCCAATCAGTTTCTGTCAATCATGACCAATGGTGGCCGGTGGCTTACCAGAGATGAGCAAAGGAACGAAAAGCAATTCGGAGCCTTGTTTATGCGATCATACATTCGGTTGGCCCGGCAAAGCATTCAAAACCGAACCCGGCGCTACAAAATGAGGCCTAAGCTGCACATTCTTCATCATATGCTGATGTCCTCACCACCTTCCCGATTGAACAATCATGTTTATGCAACCTGGATGGACGAGGATTTCTTGCGCAAGGCCATGAAGGTCCACTCGAATACAGATCCCCGAGGAGCCTCCTTACGTGTACTGCAGAGGTATCTAGATGGGCCTGCCCAAAACCTGGGAGAAGTTGCACGGTGCTTAAAAAGCTAAGATTGCAGTCCGAAGGGCCCAGCAGCTGTGCAGCAACATCCCAACCAGGTCGTCGTCGACCGATATTAAATGCATACACAGTTAACATGATAATCTACATACATACACATGCAGGGATTTGAGTATATATGCTGTTAAGTGGTTGTTTAGGGTCGAACCCCCCGAACCTTAGACTTAGACCCTTAACCTCCTAAGTTTTGTTCCCGCAGGTGCAAGCTTGGGGCTTCGGATTCTGAATGCATAGGCTGGTGACTCGGCGAGCCCTGTATCCTAAACCCCAAAATCCGACCCAACACCGATAGTTCTACATCGATCTTTATTCTTGTAGTTGAGCTCGACAAATCAGTCCTATATGAAAAAGAAAGGACAACAAACCACTGAACACTCCAATAGTTCATGGAGTTCGGATCTTATAGTTTTTGGTTTGAGGTTCGTGCTAGACCTTGAAGTCTAGATCGGTAATCGACTATAAGTCTCTAAAACCCAGAACCTAAACCTTGAAGCCTTAATCCCCGCAGTTGTTTTCATTTTTTGTTCAAGATTCGATTTGGCTCAAATCTTTTGCACATGCTTAAGTTGTGCTCTTGATGCACCTGATAACTCATGATTCTCGCACACAGAGGGGGTGTGAAAACCATATGGCTGGCTCAAGTTTTCGGCTCGAACCCTGCTTTCAAAGGTGGGAAGCCTCTGGTAGCCGGCGCGAAAGTAGCTGTCTAACTGGGCACTGGGCCTTAACGTTTCTTTGGGAACCAGGCCTCTTTGAACCCCAGGTGTAGTTTCTTTTGCCATAGCCGAGGACTTGGTTTTCCAGTCCCAACCCTATCCCAGCTTCGGTCTAGCCGAGCTGGCGATTTGGGTGCCCTTCCCAGCCTCAGGACTTGGTTAGCCAGTCCGGGCTTGGGTCCCCAACCTAGTTGGGCAGCCCCAATCCGCGACCAGGGTCTTCCCGGTCCAAGGATGGCTAAAGGAAAGGGCAAGCAATGGGGCAGAGCGTACCACGTCTGCAAGGGCAAAGACTGTCACAACTGGTGTTGGGCAGACGCTGTGGCGAAGACTCCCAAGTGCAGTGGGTGTGGCAGACAGTGGCCACAACCCCCCAAGCCCAAGGGACCGGCAACCCCTCCCTCGCAACCCACGCCGCCGGAGAGCAGGCGATGGGGACGCGAAGAGGGCAACAGCCGTCACTTCCTGCGCCTTCTCCACTCCAAGTGGGCTGAGCTTGGCGACGCCACCAAGGAGGCTTTCCAGGCTGCTGGGTTCAGGCCCAAGCCACAGCCACCACAGGAGACCTCCTTGCTTGACAAGCTGCGCAGTAGGAAAGGGGAACTCCCAGAGGATATCCAGCTCCTGTTGGACTCCCTTGAGGAAGTTCCTTCGGCCACTCCTTACCAGGAGGGCCAGCACTCCTCCAACGCGCTCTCAAAGCCTCGCACCGCTACCGCCAGCTAGCCAGGAAGAAGTTGGACCTCCAGGCCTCGGTCAACCAGGCCAAAGAGGACCTCAAGTGGACGAGCTCCAGGAGGTAGACAAGCTGATGGAGGAGGCCAAGCAGGCCATAGACGATGCCCAATCCAAGCTCACTGAAGCTCTGGAGCAGTCTGATCCCACCCAGGCCTCCCCGCCGCCTATTGGGGAAGTGGCTTCCTCTCAGGATTTCGGCAAGGCCCTGGGAATTGAATTTACCAAAGAGCAGCAGGCAGTGCTGGACAAAGCCGTTGCGGCTCACCTGCCTCCGGGGCTCACCGCGCGCACCGGCCCGGTCTTCCACTTCCAACCAAGGCTCTCCCAGCCACAGGGCAAACCAGATCAGGATCAGAAGACAAGGGCTGAGGACCTCGATTCGACCAAGGAGGCCCCAGACGCTTCCATGAAGGAACCGCCAGAGGGCGAACTTGAAGAGAACTCCAACCCCCGAGACCGCAGCCCACGGCGCACAAGCCGTAACGGCTCCAAGGAGGCGAACAAGGCCCAGGAGTAGGGACTCGGTGGGGGCGCAGCCGCCCTCTGGGTGGCTGTTTTTGATGGTTCCCAGAGGAGCCTCGGCTCGCCCTGGGCCGAAGTTTTCAGTGGCACGCAAATGCCAGTTCTCACCGTTTTGCATGCAGGCTTTCTGCTTGCTCTCAACTTAGTTTCATGGGCGCTTTGCTTGGCCCATGCCCCCTTTTTAAATATGCCCTTCAGGCAGATTTGGGAGCCACTCACGTCAACGTGTTCGGCCTCCCAGTCTCAAGAAGGGTTCCTTTTTCCCAAGCGCCCCAAAACAGTGAGAAGATGTACTTCCTGTTTTAGAGCACTGCACACACAGCACCAGCCTTTCATAGGCTGTGGTGGTACAGAAGCTGGTTCGGAGGGCCGTAGGCAGAAACCGTGCGGCCCTCTTTGCTACCAGTGCCTGATCAAGTCAACCCACCCGCCCCCGAATTCGGGGTCGAGGTTTTTCCCGCAATCTTTTGGTTACCAAGAAACAATGGAGGACAACTCTGCAGAGCACCACCAAGAGGACTCCCAGCTCCTCACCGAGAACACCTCTTTCAGCCAGCCTTCCTCCAGTGGGACCTGGGCCAACAAGGCTGAAGGGGCTGGTGTGACTGCTGGGCAAGGCCCAGAGGAGTGCCGGGTTTCCCCTGCCACCTGTCTCATACCCAGGCTGTGCTGAAACCTTGATTTACCAAGCGAGCGTGGTGGCGCAAGCTGCAGAGGCTGGTTGCCTCTGACCACTGGGCTCAGGCCTCGCAACAAGAAAGGTTGGAGCCTGTGCCCAAGCCGGCTGTGCAAGCAAGCCATGAGGCCACCCGGCCCCCGGCTCCCAGCCCGGTGGTAGGTCAGGAGGGCGGTTCTACGGGTTCTCATCCCGAACTGCCCCGGTCTCCTTTTGCCCTTGCACAAGGCTCGGGCTCCCGACCAATCAATCCGGCCCCTAAGCAGGGCAAACGGAGTAAAACTCCAAGGGCTTCGACGGAGCCTACGGGCGGTCCCAAGCAGGCAAAACTGCACTTTGGGGCGCCCAAACCTCCCCCCTTGTAGGCGCACGGCGCTCCCGTTGCTGGTTTCTCTCTTTTCTCTCCGCAGCTGTTTGGTTCACAGGTGGGTAGCCAGCATGGAGAAGGCCAGCCCAGCCGAGCCCCCCAGGGGCAGAGAGCCGGCTAGGGAAAGGGGCCCAGAACGGGGCCGCAGCAAGGGGAAGTCCCCGGCTAAGGGCAAGGGTCCAGACCCAGCCAAGGGCAAGGGTTCCACCCGGCCCAAGGGCAAGGACTCAAAAGGAGCACAGCTAGGCCGAGGAAAAAGCCAGCCCTACAACCCGGCTGAGCACAGCAAGGGTGGCAAAGGAAGCCAGGACACTGAAACTGGCAAAAAGCACAGGTCGAAGAGCTCAAAGGAGTACTCCCAACGCCGGGCGGGGAAAAAACAACGGGCTGCCGGGCAGTACTACAGGTGGTCGCGTCCCCTGCCGGCGGAGCAAGAGCAGCCCCGTGACACCCCGCCACCACCGGCGCCCAAGCGCCGCGGAGGGCGAAAGGAGGAGGATGAGAAAAGTGCTGCCTCGTACTCCTACTACTCTTCCTCCCACTCCAGGTCACCCCGGGCAAAGGAAAAGGCGGCCAAAAAGGGCAAGGAGAAGCCTGCAAAGGCCCCGGCCCAGGCAGCTGGCCCAAGAATGGCCGTAAAGTCCAAGGCCAAGCCCTCTCCTGAGGCAGAGGAGGCTTCGGGCTCTCCCGAGCCACCGGCCGCTTCCGCTCCCTCTAGCTCCCAGGCCGGGGTTCCCCCGCCTGGTGTGAAGCTCACACCGGCGGCCAAGGAAAAGGACTCCCGGCCTCTGCTGAGGAAGAGAAGGGATCCCCGGCTGGATCTACGGCTGCCAAGGAAGAGTCCTCCGACTCTTGCTATGAGCCCATCCGGTTGCGCCCAGCTCCTCTCTCCAGTCCTGCGAGGAGGGCGCTACCTGTGCCGGATCTGGGTGTGAACATGCAGTTCACTATCCAGCTGAAGGATGCCTCCAAGGAGGCGTGCTCAGGGCGCTACTTGCACGCTGCGTCTTTGGTGTACTTTGCACACCAGGACCGCCAAGGCGCGGAGCCTGGCTCCCCGCAAAAGGTTGCCACGGCCCTGGAAGTGCTTGGCTTAGGGGGTTCCCGAGTGGTCTTCCGCTCGCCTTCCAACCCGGCCAAGTGCTGGAAGCTCTCCAAAAGGTCGCAGGAGGCAGAGCGTGACCTTTTCAAGGTCACCGGCCCCTGGACCCCGCGGCACACCAGGGCTTTGGGTGTGCACCGTGTTGTAGAGGAGGGCAAGGGTGGCACCTCCTTTTTCGCGTCTCTTTTGGAGACGGAACTTGTGGACCCTCTCCCCATGGTCAACCCGTCGCTGATCTTCCAAATCTGCCTGACTGTGTGCCAAGCGGCGAAGTTTGCAAACGTCCGTGACCTAGGACGGAAAAACATGGGCAGCAGGTCAATGCCTCAGGGCATGGGAGACCCGCCCAGGTATGAAGTCCTGCTGCTGGACGCCAACGACTGGGAGGAGTATGGTTCCCAAACCACCCCCCACTGGCCAAACAAGCGTCGGGCCCAGGGACTTTGGTCCACGGTGAGCTCTTTCTCACCACAGCTGCTCGAGCCGTTGCAGCAACTGGTTGAAGCAGCACCAAGCCGACCTCCAAGCCCTGACCCAAGGGATCTACAACCTGATGGGGAAGACCCTGATTAAGGGGGAGGCAGAGGATGTGCTCGAGGCACTGGTTTCGACCCAGGCACTTGGGCTCTCTCCGGAACGCCACATCTGCCAGTATGTGCTAAAGCAGGGTGGCCCCCACCCGCTTGTCCCAGGCCAGACGTGGGAGCTCCACCCGCTGGAACAATTCCAGCAGGGGAAGCTCCGAAAGGCCAGAACCTGAGCAGGAGCCAGGGGCGCAGGGCACCCAGGACTGAGTACCCAAGGGCAAAAGTCCTTGGGGCCCTGCCACGCCCCAGCTCTCGCCTTGGGTCTCCCAGGCGCAACCAGCTGAGCATCCTCGGAGAAAGGCTTGGTGGTAGTGCTGTAACCAGCAAGTACCCAAGGGGAAAGCTTCGTGGCACCCACCGTAGAACCAGCCGAGTACCTACGGGAAAAGGCTTGGTGTTTAGGTGTAGAACCAGCCGAGTACCTAGGGGAAAAGGCTTGGTGCACCGCCCTGGGATCCCCAGGCGACCCAGCTCCAAGAGAGCTTGGGCCCTTTTTGCCCCAAAATGGGGAGGCGTGGGAAGCCCCACGCCAGTCGTAGGCCTAGGCTCGACCCGTCTCACCCCAAACTTTGGCCTCTGGCCGCACCGCTCGCGCTCTCGAGAAGAAAACCATATGGCCGTGAAAAAGCGGTATGGGCGTTACAAGGTTTTTTCATGGCCGCCAGCGGTATGACCGCACAAACCGTGGCCGAACAGACCCCCAGGAGTTGCGCGAAGGGCGTAGCCTTTCAAACACCCCAGAGCTGCGGGAAGGGCGTAGCATTTCAAACACGACAGTTGCGCGAAGGGCGTAGCCTTTCAAACACGACAGTTGCGCGAAGGGCGTATAGCGACAGTTGGGCGAAGGCGTGACCGTTCCAACACGACAGTTGCGCAGAGGGCGTAGTTTTTTAAACACGACAGTAGTTGCGCGAAGAGTGTAGCCTTTGAAACACGACAGTTGCGCGGAGGGCATAAGTTTCGAATCACGACAATTGCGCGAAGGGAGTCGCTTTTCAAAAACAACAGTTGCGCGAAGGGCGTAGTATAGCTTTTCCAACACGACAGTTGCGCGAAGGGCGTCTAGCCTTTCAAACACGACAGTTGCGCGAAGCGCGTAGGTTTTCAAATACAACAGTTGCACAAAGGGCGTAGCCTTTCAAACACGAGAGTTCCGCGAAGAGCGTAGCCTTTCAAGCACAACAATTGCGCGAAGAGCGTAGCCTTTCCAACACGACAGTTGCGCGAAGGGCGTTTTCAAACACGACAGTTGCGCGCAGAGCGTAGCCTTTCCAAGACGACAGTTGGGCGAAGAGCGCGGCCTTCCAAAGACGACAGTTGGGCGAAGAGCACGGCCTTCCAAACATGACAGTTGCGCGAAGAGCGCGGCCTTCCAAACACGACAGTTGCGCGAAGAGCACGGCTCTCCAAACACGACAGTTGAGCGAAGGGCGTAGTAGCCTTTCCAACACCACAGTTGCGCAAAGGCCGTAGCCTTTCAAACACGACAGTTGCGCGGAGGGCGTAGCCTTCCAAACACGACAGTTTCGCAAAGGGCGTAGCCTTCCGAACATGACAGCTGCGCGAAGGGCGTAGCTTTTCCAACACGACAGTTGCGCGAAGGGCGTAGCCTTTCAAACACGACAGTTGCGCGCAGAGCGTAGCCTTTCAAACACAACAATTGCGCGAAGGGCGTAGCCTTTCCAACACGACAGTTGCGCGAAGGGCGTTTTCAATCACGACAGATTCGCGAAGAGCGTAGCCTTTCAAACACGACAGTTGCGCGAAGGGCGTAGCCTTTCAAACACGACAATTGCGCGAAGGGCGTAGCATCTAAACACGACAGTTGTGCGAATAAGGGCGACAGTTGCGCGAAAAGCGTAGCCTTTCAAACACGACAGCTGCGCGAAAGGCGTAACCTTTCCAGCACTACAGTTGCGCGAGGGGCGTAGCCTTCCAAATCCTTCCAGACACGACAGGTGCGCTTAGCCTTTCAAGCACGACAGCTTCGCGAACAGCGTAGACCTTCAAACTGTGCAAAGGGCGTCTGTCTTCCAGACATAACAGTTGCGCGAAGGGTGTAGCCTTTCTAACACGACAGTTGTGCGAAGAGCGTAGCCCTTCAAAAACGACAGGCATCGCTTTTCAAAGACGACATTTGCGCGAAAAGCTTTTCAAACACAAGGGCGTCGGTTTTCAAACACGACAGTTGCGCGGGGCGTAGTCTTTCAAGCACAACAGTTGCACGAAGAACGTTGCCTTTTTGACAACGACAGTTGCGTGA